ACACACACACACACACAAACACACACACACACACACTGTCTCTCTGTCACTTGCACACACACACACACACACACACACACACACACGCACACACTACTGCTGCTACTACTACTATTGACAGCTGCCAGAGTAGGCCACGCCGCTCCCAGATGGGAGATACTGTCAGAGAGGTCAGGAGGGGGGGGGGGGGGTAGGCAATGCTGCAAGTGGCGATCGCAATCTTGCCCCGTCCGGAACTGTCGGTTGTGACAAACTTGGCGGTGAAGCTTGAATTGCTGGTGTTGAGCCACAGTAGGGCGCTTTGGACAGGTTCCACAACAATGACGCTTGAGACCCGCAGCCGATTTAAACAGGTTGTGCAAGTTACATCCGGAACAACTAGAGGGGCAGGCGGCTGGTCGTCAACATCTAGCCGACACTTATGCACCGCAAAGCCTCCCCTGCTACGTAGCCATCGGTTGCATGTTCGCCACTGCACTGTCCCAGGCTGCTCTGATACTGGGAGCTGACGGATTGTAGAACACCTGTGCCAGGGCATGTCAGAGCTGCAGTGGAACAGACGGTTGCATTTTGAGCACTCAATGTTCTTCGGGGCAGGTTCCTTGTCCTCACCTGCTGCTGTCACCACTTCACGCCACTCTCCACGGTCGCTCTGAGAACTCGAACCAGTTACGCACTCCAGCAACAGATCTGTGTGGATGGTGTCCTTCCAGCGACGACAAGGTCCACAGAATGGCCGATGGCGAGGGAGACATGCAAACACTGACTGCATTGGTACTCTGGTGTGTGATCAAGGCGAGCCAGGTGCCCAAGCCACACCAATCGTCTCTGGTGCACCATGCGTGATAACGGTGTGTGATCACCCCACTGTGCTCGCAGTTCCTGTGAGGAGATGCGCTGTTCCCACTGTCGGCCGCGCGATACGCCAAGGATGGAGCGAATGTTGGCATGGTGAAACCAGTCAATTCTGTCTAAATCCGACTTCAACGGCGTCCAGCATTACAGAACCGTTGACCTCAGCTGAGATCCCAGTGAAAATGGTGGTGTATGCTCCAGGATAGACCAATCCCGAAAAGATTGTCTGGGTTCGAAAGGGGGCATGTCAACTGAGAGTACACTGTACAACACATACATGGCACTACCTGATCAGCATGCGGCACAGGACGTGTTTGATAGTTCGCGTGTGAATGCGAGGGTAAGTACACGGTTTTCTCGTTAGTTGCATGCAAGAGAGACGATGCGGCAGAAAGCAAAGCCCTTTGTAGTTTTCTCTCTCGCACTGGTAATGGTCTGCTGTTGGAGTTGAAATGCTAAGACATAATCCTTGTTTCGCTCTTCTGTGTAGTGTGAAGAGGTCAACGAACATGTAGAGCTCACTTTGATGAAGTAGGCAAGGCTGTGAGCGCTGTGGCTCAAAGCTATAGGCCCTAAATCGTACGAGATATTTCGAGTGCTATTGCTTCGTCTTCGATGAGTCCTGCCTCTTTCCTGGCAGCTGCCCTCCTATAGGACCAACCACGAAGTGACTGTACTCATCTGCAGCCGATCAATGTTATATTGCACAAGAAAATATCGTTTTCGCCAAGCCAGTGCCCCGCCAAAGACCATCGCCGTGTCACACCGTCGGAACGAGTTCATGATGAGAAACGTCATTCGCGCGAGCGTGATGAAGAACTATTTCGAAAGACAACATAGTCTTTACCCGCGGGACGACAACTATGCGCACGTCCTGCAAGGGGAGAATGTCACCAGCGACATCAACGAAGACGACGGCAGTATTTCGGAAACCTGGAGTCAGCGGAGGTCGTCAAGCTCCTCCGCGACCCGGTACATGTACAGTATAGGTGACATGTCGACATGAGCGTGCGGAAACACAGCATACACTGTAGTAATGTTGCGAGAGTTTGCGGAAGGAGTCCAAGTCGGGAAATCCATCAGCTCCAAAAGCTACCTGTAGGTGGGCGATGAGACTCGATTCCAGCTTCAGACTACAACATTCAGGACTTGTAAATAGTTGAACTTTGTGAAGCAGCAGATCGAGAAGTTCGCTGAAATCGTAGCTGTCGCAGTACGTCAGCGCTATGTAGCTTGCATTTTTTTACGGAGAGTCGATCGCCACGCGAATGTTTCTCTCCTCACCGAGAGCTAGCTGGCCTCCAAACTCCGTCAGGGTCTGCCTAAGGTACCGAAGGTCCTTTGACTAGCTGCTGGCAGGACTCCATCAGATCCTTTACCTTCAGCTCGGCGAGCAAAAGTCTCTCTCTCCTCCGCCATGAGCTGACACACACAAACTGAATACAAAACGATGCACTTCACACGTGCTGGCTTGCACGCGTGCCCCCTTTCACGATCCCAGACAATCTTTTCGGGATTGGTCTATTGTAAGACAGCCGGGTATACGTGTACCTGGCGCAACCATTTCAACCGGGTCGGAGCCGGGTACACATGTACCTGCCGGCGCTGTCTCACCAGCCGGGTACACATGTACCTGCCGGCGCTGTCTCACCAGCCGAGTCACATGCTTTAACTGCATGGTTGGTTGGTTTATTTTAATTCGGACAATAAACGGGAACTAGGCCCAATGATGTAAAGGCGAAAGGATAAGCCGCGTTTAGAAAAGAGAGGACAAGAATTAGAAAATTACGTAAGAAGAAGAAGTATCTGACACACACAAGCCATGTAGTCAGTCCTTTCAAAGTTCGAAAGTGTAAAGTACCAACCGGGTCACAGGTGACCCGGTACTATATTTTCAACCGGGTCCAAGCGCCGCCCAACCGGGTGGATTACCCGGCTCACCCGGCCGGTCACAGGTGACCCGGTACTATATTTTCAACCGGGTCCAACCGCCGCCCAACCGGGTGGATTACCCGGCTCACCCGGCGCTGGAGCAGACACTGGTATGACATGGGTAGGTTGCCATTTGAAAGTATGGAGAACAAACCCGATCAGCGCAAACAGTTTTCGCTATTTCGATCGTGTTCTCGCTCAGTTTCGCTGCTTGTAGCGAGAATGTAGCTTGTTCCAGGTAATGTCGACGTCTTCTAGATGTGATGGACGCTTGGAGAGATTGGCTGTGGCTATATCATCGCGGAATGCGACTCTAAATGGAAAATTTGTATCGCTGGTCCCATCGCAGTATTCGCTCTCCAAACAGGAACGAGAGGGAGGGCAGCGATGGCCTAAAATCGTCAAGGCAGGCGTAATTCACCAGCCAGCGAGTGCTTCTTGTTTTCTCTGTCATTTACCTTACGTTGGATGTGAGTAGATGAAGAAAAATATAGATTTCGAACCTGACACAATAATTCGAAAATTGCAATTTTGAAGCAATTGGTTTACCTCAAATATGTGACAATATGACCATATCCCTGGCATGTTGGTGCTCTTCGTGCACTGAGACAACGCTTATGAGGTTGTTTTGTCCCTATGTTCCCAGTACATGAGCACAAACTAATTTTCATCCTATTTGTTTGTGATAGCCTGATTGGTCAGAAATATGCACAATTGGCGCGTATCTTTGGTATTCCACATATGGCCTTCATATACTACTGCATGCTGTCCCAATATCCATGCTTACCTGGGTGCAGTGATACATATGGAGTCAGGAAAACACAACTTGCATATACAAAAGTTATCTAGATTTCATACCATGTTTGCTTCTTTGGCTGCGATAGCCCCTTACATACATTAGATGGCTGGTACATAAAGGGTTAAAGTGGGTTTTCCGTATTTTTCGGTTTTGCCCGGTGAGCCAGAGAGGATGTTGCCGTGGACAGTTTGTCTCTTTTGTTTCTTTCTTGGCATTTTTCTGCTGCTTATTTGTTCAGTGGAAGGTCCTAGCCGATCCTTCACCTTCTCGAAAAATAAGTGACAATCGGAAGGCGGTAGACGCGTGAGCCGGCACTTCTTGATCCGAATTTCACCGTACATGAACATTTACCACTGCGTTCGTGTGCGATTTGAAAATAAAATGCGCGCAGAACTCGCAGTCACTTTCCTGGACTCTGCCCCGTACAACCGTCATGTAAACGGTACACACACCTGTGCCCATTACTGAGCGGCCTTTACTTGATCAGTCTTACTCAGTGTTTACAAGAGGTGTTGGCGACAGTCATCCAACGTATACCGTAAAGTCCGCTGCAAACGCCCACTTCGCTGCAAACGCCTACCCCAGCGGGTCCATACTATTTTGGTCTTTTTCAGTTGTAGGCAACTGGCATGAAGGTCGAATGTGTACGAGAACGACTAAAATGCCTACAAACTGCCTATGTCTTACCAAGAGGCTCGCAAAAGCGATTGTCAATATCTTGCTGCAAAGAAGAAAAAAAATCTTCGGTCGAGATTTCCTTTCATACGATGCATGAGTCGTCTTTGTTATTAGTTCGTTCTCCATGAAGTTATGCCGTAGAATCCATCTGGTTTTGAAATCATGAAATTTCTGCAGTGCCACGATGTCGCGCTTTCAGAATGGAACGGTGATTGTTCTGACGAAGCGTCATTCAACGTCGCAGTATTGCAGTTGAAAGTCGAACAGGGGGGGGGATGTCACAGAAGCTACACCTTCTAACTTGTTGAAAACTGTGAAGTGCTCGAGAAAAACCCTCGCCATTGCGCTTTGCGTGATTTGGAAATCATGGCTTGAAACACCGCCAGAAGTGTATTTGGTTCCTGCAATAGCCTGTTCTTCGCTACCTTGTTATTCCGAAGTAACTCCCGTTTGGATTTGGGAAATAAAACAACCAACATCATAAAATCACTAGGAGTTAGCTCGTAACTAGTGCCCAAAAACATTTTGAAACCGGAAAATGGGCATAGTTTACCGTAGCAAAGCACTCCTCGCGCTACGGTGTGAGATGCACTTTCATACAGCAGGGGTGAAAGTGCACGGGGTCAGTGCGTATAGGCCAGCAGATCTTGCAAAAATGGGATGGGCGTTTACAGCGGACTTTACGATACTTACACATTCGGTGCTTTTCCCTGTGTTTGATTTGGTTTCCTTTCAGACGGCACTGGTTGTCATGTATGTCATCCGGGTCATCAAAGGAACTTCCTCTTCCTCTTCAGCACCCTCAGCCAGTGTTGCCTGATGGTCAACCAATGTCACATGATCTTTTCTGGATTGCCATGACATCATGTTGAGGCAGGCTCTGATGTCATGGCGATGTCATGTTGAGTCCTTGTGATACTGTGGGCCGCTGCTAGCTGTTTAGGATGGCCATCATGACGGTGGTGACGGGACCACAGTTGACGCTGCTGCTCTTTTTATTGCTGCTGTTGTTGCGCTTGAACGTGTGTATTTGTATGTACATGTGTACGCGTATGTGAACGTTTACACGGACATGTGTATGTGTGTATGTGTACATGTATGTGCACGTGTAACGTCCTGCTCAGTGAAATCCAGTCACGTCACGTCACTACGTACGCGCCGGGCGTTGCGCGGCACTAGACCTGAGAACACTGGGCTGCGAAATGATGCAAGGTTCAAACTACCTTGAGTGGCATGACTGCTGGATTCCATTGAGTAGCACTATACATGTACATGGGTATGTGTGTGTGTGTGTGTGTGTGTGTGTGTGTGTGTGTGTGTATGTGTGTATGTGTGTGTGTGTGTGTGTGTGTGTGTGTGTGTGTGTTGGATGTGTGTGTGTATGTGTATGTGGATGTGTGTGTGTGTATGTGTATGTGATGTGTGTATGTGTATGTGTATGTGTATGTGTGTGTATGTGTATGTGTATTGTTATGCATGCGTACGTGATCTCACTCGGCAAACCTTGCTCTGCCATACACTCTGTGTAAAATACTAGTACTACATCATCAGTATACTACAGAACAATCATATTATTGAACTAGTATTCACTACCACTACCACTAGCCAACATACTGTGCTGTGTGTGACTGGCAAGGGGCCTGTCCATACATTCTACTCTATGTCACTCTTTAGCCTGTCCATACACACTCACTCTTAGCCTGTCCATGCACACTCACTCTTAGCCTGTCCATGCACACTCACTCTTAGCCTGTCCATACACACTCACTCTTAGCCTGTCCATACACACTCACTCTTAGCCTGTCCATGCACACTCACTCTTAGCCTGTCCATGTACTCTTCTCCAAGGGCGCGTTCGAATTGTATTCATCAACTGTTCAAACACATTTTATAAAGAGATTAGGCCATCATTTTTTATAGCTATGTTTCGCGTCGTCCGCACGCATACGTTTTGACTTTTTTTCGGAAAAAAATAAAAATATCGAACATGCACGGTGAGTGTACGACTGTGCGAGTCATCAGTGTGGACTGGTTGCGATATGGCGAAGCTGGGATTCAGAAACGGCCTCTAGGCCAGCGTTGGTAAATCGTTTGTTCGGCATCTGGGAGCAATATTCTAGGAGCTTACACCAGACCGCATTGATCACCTCAAGCTGAGAGAATGCGTCGTTCCGGAGCTCTTTGCACCGCTGCTGAAGTCTCAGTACAATAATCCAGCGAATTCGCGAAGCATGGGCACAAACGGTTGCCTCCTCTGTCCAAAGTGAATATTTACTCATGCTGATAACCCAGATGTTGTGCTTCGATGTACGATTTTTCTCTCGAATGTACACCATGCACGAACTATTGTGCTATGTACAGTGCATACACCTCTGATGAGCCTTTTTTATTATTTTGTAACTTTTTATTGTTTTCCACCTCTCGCATTATGATTCTGGAAGTTGAACTGACGCGAAACATAGATATAAAAAATGATGGCCTTAGTTGAAGTGTCCCATTCGAACGGTTTCTATCATTTTAGAGTTTTTCAGTGGAATTGTCATGGCGATGATGACGTCGGATCAGATCGACCATCTCCACGTACTACGTGACGTAGCTATTCCAAACTCTTCGAAACTAATCCACCTTCCCATCGGATGAGTTTCCAGGAGTTTCGAGGGGCTTCGTTTTTCTGAAGAGGCCAATAAGGCCACCTCTTCAGAAAAACGAAACTCCTTGAAAAGTCAAAGAGTGACAATTGGAACGTGCCCTAAGTCACTCTTGGCCTGTCCATACACTCTACTCTAAGTCACTCTTAGCCTGTCCATACACTCTACTCTAAGTCACTCTTAGCCTGTCCATACACTCTACTCTAAGTCACTCTTAGCCTGTCCATACACTCTACTCTAAGTCACTCTTAGCCTGTCCATACACTCTACTCTAAGTCACTCTTAGCCTGTCCATACACTCTACTTTAAGTCACTCTTGGCCTGTCCATACACTCTAGTCTAAGTCACTCTTAGTAGTAGTCTGTTTCAACGTTATCATTTATTTTTATCCTGTGGCTTTGGTCTGCATCTCTCATTGCCCTGGGCGTTCCTGTACGTTTTATGGCTTCTGCAGTACGTGTAGCAATGGGTTACAGCAATGCTGCAGTACGTGTTGCAATGGGTTACAGCAATGCTGCAGTACGTGTAGCAATGGGTTACAGCAATGCTGCAGTACGTGTAGCAATGGGTTACTATGGTTACAGCAATGCATGGCATCATTATTATTGTCAACTACTTCAAGTAGTACCAGTGCGTTTTTCAAGTTTTTTGCCTGCCCTGTGCCATGGTGATCTGCTCTATCTCTCTATCTGTGTGTGTGTGTGTGTGTTTGTCTGTCCCCGGGGAAAATTGCGGAAAAAATCGCAAAAACGCGGGGAAAAACGCGGCATAATAGCCATGGCATAATTTGCGGTAAATATGCGGTAAATATGCGGTGAATAATATTGATGTGCGGCAATTTTCAGTGAGTATGTAGTGAAATCAATCAGTTACAAGTCTCTGGTGTAAGCACTCGTCATATTTGAGTAAAAGGCGGCCACGATGAGACGTTGCTGACCGAACAGTGCACTGTGTGTACGTGTAGTGCAACAAAAAAGTTCAAAAAACGCGGAAAAATCGCGGAAAACGCGGTCTTTTAAAAATCGCAAAAAACGCGGAAAAAAACGCGGCCGCGGAATCGCAATTTTCCCCGGGGACAGGTTTGTGTGTGTGTGTGTGTGTGTGTGGAGATTTGCTTACGAGTATCTGGACCTGGAGTGGTTACAACTAGACAATTGCCCTGATCTAATAGTGCTACATTGTACAATCATCGTCATGTACATGTACATGTACATGTACATGTACATGTACATGTACATGTACATGTACATGGTACTACAATAGTACATGACATGTACACGACTAACCGTAATCCTAACCTAAATATCTACATGTATACAACCATTGTATTGCTTGGTTTGGAACAAAAATGGAAGAAAGGGTGCACATTGTCAAACTTCCAGGACATGATGCATTTAGTCGATCTGCCTCTGAAGCTGCTACAATATCTCTCACGAGCTCCACCACTTCTTAGCACTATAAGACACGATCACGTCTCCATTGGCTGCTCTCCATAGCAACTTTGATGCAGGGCTGTGGCTGAATAGTGGGTGTATCAAATATCTTTTCCCTTGCTTGTCCATGTAGTGAGAGCTGAAACCATTATTGCTGATGATCATTTAGATGCTGGAAGCTTACATGTATCTTCGGAAGTGGTATTCCTTCCTGCAGACAAGCTGTCACTGCTTACACTCTGTGAAAAAATATCTTCATCTGAAACAGCTCACGTGAGGCCAGTTCCTGAGAGACGATCTCAGATCGAGATCCCTCCTCCCATTTGCGGAAATCCTGAAACCACATGGTCAGAAGTTATTTTGCCGCTCTACACCCTCTGCTTGTGCTGTCTTCTTCTCCTGAGGTTGCCTGGAGACAAATGGTTGGCCAGAATACTCTTCTATTCTGATAACATTTGACTGTAGGCCTTGCATTATAATCGTCCTCGACGAACTGTACGTGCTTCACCAGGAAAGTAAGACACGCGCTGCTGAGCACTCAAATCGACTTGGTACTGCGTCCATGAGAAATTCTAGTTCTTTTCGAGCCTGCTGAGCTGGCTCGGCAAAGGCAGTTATTTGGAACAAGCTCTTTCTGTTTATAGCCGCTCGGTCTAAATTTATCAATGGATCAGTGTTTACTTCAGTATCACTAGAGATGCTATGGCCAGAGCCTATGGCATAACTGGAAACTTCTCTTCGTCTGTTTGATATTCACTTCGCGTACATCTACTCTAGTCTCCTCCATGGTTCTTCATGATTTCTAAAAAAAACTCCTCGTAAATCATCGTTACGGATTTTGTGTAACACTAACAAGTAACAGCCTCAGTTGCAACGTTGGGTATGCTATATCACATGTACATTTACCTGACTACATTGCTACATACATGTAAAGACTTTATGTACGTAGCAATGGCACTACAATGTAGTCAGGTAAATGTAGCATTAGTGCTAAAGGTGTTCCATGTCTACAAATCACAAAGTCATGTGTCGGTACAATACATGGCGTTGCACCTCATGGCTTTAGGCTAGCCGATTGTTGCCAAAAACCTGATATTTTCCGACAGTATCCACTATGAAACTCGTTATGATGCTCAAACCTCACATCATGCTCGTCTTGTTCCTTTCTAATGCGATGCTCGGATAGTCTCATAATGCCGAATATAATGCCGGCATTATCCGCTGGACCCTAGAGATGGCCCCTTAGCTCATTGGACAAGGATGCATGATTGCACAGCTTAGAGACAGCCACTAAGGGGTGACAGACACCTGCAAGACATCTTGTACCGTTGTGATTGTCGCAGGGACGCCATACTCGACATGATCCTGGGCACAAGTGCTAGTGGTGCAAACATGCAAATTATGCAATCGTTTGTGAATCAGAGCGCTTACAGCAGCACTGTCTGGTATCGAAGAAATGGCGATGAGAGCCACAGTGTAGCCTAGTCAAAGTTGCTCCTTTTTTGCATGAAGAAAATTATTTTCTATACGGTTCAGCCACCTTGTACAACCGGGCATCGTGTGCCTGGTTAAAGGGGAAGTTAAGGCAAAAATCAAGATTTCACCAGTTGTAGTCTTCGGGGTGCTGGGTCGAATGGTCTTGGTCCGAGGAAGCTGAGACGCTCCCTTCCTACTTGAATCCCAATCGAACTCGCGCACTTCCACCGAAACTGGGTGACTGCGCCCTACGAGATGGGGATTTGTATGCAAAATGTCACTAAAAGCGCCATTTCGTTCTTATAAAAGCACGGATGACCGCGATTGGCCCATATGTTGTAGTATTCTGGACGCTAAGTCGACTGGTTTTGGTCCGAAAAGGCTGCGATGCAGCGTTCCTCCTTTATTCCCAATCGAATATGGTTGAAGAAGCGGTCACGTGATCCTGGGTGCCCAAATCACCTGGTCACCACGCCAGCAGTAGGCCTTGGCGGATAATGCCGGCAGAAAAATTGGCAGAATTCGGTACTTTTTCTGGTAAGTTTCATGCATGTTTGGTATGTGGATAAAGAAATGGAGCAGAATTCGAGGAATTGCCCGCCATAAGGTTTGTATGGTTCTGCCAATTTCGGTGCAAAAAAAGCAGAATCTGCCACCTTTTCGAGCATTATCCGCCAAGGCCTAGCCAGCAGGCGACAACTTTCACACCGAGGTTCAACTCGAGTGACAGGACTGCACCCAAAAAGGTCAAAACAGGCTGTAAGTTGTACCCTGCAGGCACGGTGACCAGGTGACTGGTGTACGCAGGAGCACGTGACCGCTTGTTCAACCATGTTCGATTGGGAATAAAGAAGGAACGCTGCATCGCAGCCTTTTCGGACCAAAACCAGTCGACTCAGCGTCCAAAAGACTACAACATATGGGCCAATCGCGGTCATCCGTGCTTTTATAAGAACGAAATGGCGCTTTTAGTGACATTTTGCATACAAATCCCCATCTCGTAGGGCGCAGTCACCCAGTTTCGGTGGAAGTGCGCGAGTTCGATTGGGATTCAAGTAGGAAGGGAGCGTCTCAGCTTTCTCGGACCAAGACCATTCGACTCGGCACCCCGAAGACTACAACTGGTGAAATTTTAATTTTTGCCTTAACTTCCCCTTTAAGCTAAGACTCATGTTATCTTGGTAAAACTCTACAAGTCTGTTCGTTCTAGTGCGCATATTCCTTCGCCGCCCCTAGAGTACGATTATACCTGGCTTGTTGGGCTAGGAATATGGTGCATGGAGGAGCGGAGTTGCAACTGATCGCGTTCCAGCACAGGGATTTGTGCAAAGCGGGGTTGCAACTGATCGCGTTCCAGCACAGGGATTTGTGCAGCAAAGCGGATCGGTGTGCATGTTTGGGCCGGCTGTGACTATTTAGGCTGCGTTTACACGACAACGATTGAAAACGATTTGCGTTTACACGACAACGAAGTAGGACGTAAACGGAACGAAATCGTTGCGTTTACTACTATCGTTTACACGACAACGCCCGAAAACGATACCTAAACGGAACGAAATGGAAACACACTTCAAAGTGTTTTGAAACGTTTTCAAAACGTTTTCGTTCTCGTGTAAACGGTGAAAACAGTGAAAACGATTGGAAACGGAGCGCGGTCATGGAAACCATTCCGCGCGGGACTATATTTCGCGGGAAATACCCAATCCTGGCGACCACCAGCACGTACCAAACTCCAACTAACGTGTTACTTCCCGCCCTTGCGCCAAGCCAGCACTTGCTACTCCAGCCTGATCGCCCGTTTTCCGTTTTCGTGTGAACGGTTCAAAACGTTTTGCCGTTCTCGTGTATTTGAAAACGATTCGAGGCCAGCCCGTTTTCGTTCCGTTTCGTTCCGTTTCGTTTCGTCTCCGTGTAAACGCAGCCTTATTTCATAATGCAGACTTTTGTAAATGAATTAAAACTGCATGCAGTATATAGTACTGATCAATGCAATCCAGTCCCGTGACTCAAGTATGCGCCGGACACAGTCCTACACCCGCCAACACTGGCCTGACAAATGCTGCAAAGCAAACTAAGTAATATTAGTTAGTTACTTGAGTGATATGACGCGACTGGAGACTTCACTGAGCAGCACTGAACATTCCGTGTATTTGTCATGGTCTCCAGTGGCAGTGAGCTGTGTAGATCAAGGAGTACTAATTTTATGACTCCAAATCTCGCTAGAATCACCCTAGAGACATACAATCATGTACTTCAAGGAAGTGGTGCTGTACAAGTCCAACCTGACTCATGAGCACTACACCACGGATGTGAGTTTTCGCCGTCGCCGGATCTGATCCCTGTCCTTGGATATTATTGTTCCTCCATGGGGCTGTGGACTCAAGTGCAAATAATGCACACTCTCGGACGGTTATGCATGTAGATTCTTGCCATCTTGGTGTCCCGACAGACACAGCGGGATGGACGAACCTTGAATCACGTGCCCCGATGATCGGCGCCTGGATGAGCTTCGCACTGTCTTTATGTCAAGCTGTTCAGATGGTTGTGCTTTGTCAGGTCGCTGCTCTCCTCAGACTCAGAGAGTCTACTCCGTCTAGTCCTACAAGTACAAGCCATCCATGGTCTGCACAAGCCTGTGACAACACCATGTTGTCAAAGACAATCCAATGAACGAACCTATTCAAAATTCAACCAATCAGCAACGTAGCTCCTAGCAACCAACCAGTTGCAGTGTCTAAGCTGAAAGCTTATGCCACGGCAGCGCGACTACTAGGCGCATGCGTGGAATAAAGTGCCGCGGAGACGCTGCGCTTGTTCAATCACATACATTAGATGCTGTCGTTCCTCCTCTTTCTCTGTGAGATTTTCTGCAGTACAATAACACCGTGAAAACCTTTGACTGCCAAGATGCCTTCACCTAAATTTCATATGAAGCACCATTCAGAAGATGTTCTTGTGTCCTCTGACGGACGCGAAATGACCAGACTACTTCCCTCTGCTACCAGCCGGAAACCAACCAAACCTGCCGCCGCCGCTGCCTCTCAAACTCAGCCTGCAGCAAAATCGCAACGAGGTACGTACGCGCGCGCGCGCTCGTGAGTGCGTGCGACTGAGTGTCTGTGTCACTGTGTGTGTGATGGGTGACATTGAGTGCGTTGAAAAGATCCCTTCTTATCTGAATGGACGTGTGGCTCTTTCTCCCTCCCACAGTCTACTGGATATTGTCTGAACACGCACTAGTAGGCATGTGAGATGTGCACGGTAGATATCTATGTCACTTTCATAATTGAGAATTCAAGAGAATGCAGCGACAAAAGTATCCAATAACACGCATTCACGGAGTATCAGATTCTACCACTCTTTTGGCTATAGAAGCGCTCTGGCATAGGGTTCAGTTTAGGCCACCAGAACAGTGTATGCTAAACCAGGTAGACATAGTCGCATTTGTATTTGATTGGTTTGGACCGCGGAGATTTCTGTACTCTTGCACATGGCTATGTTGATCACAGTATGACCGTGTTTGGGGTCAGTAGATCATGTCGTGATCTCGACCGGCCGTGCATTGCATAGGCCACAGTACTGATCACTTAGTTGATTCCAAATTTGCACTTTGTTTCTGGTCTGTAGAGTGTTGTGTGGTGTCTCTGGTCTAGTCCCCAGTAGATCTACTCACCAGTGCTATGCGCAGACACAGATGCTACGCAGCAATGACTCTGATGTCTGAGACTTTGTTACAAAAGAGTCCTTGTTGAATGTTGTATTAAAGTAACGTTTATCTATGACGTAACAGTTACCAAGTATGTACATGTACGCACGTAGGCTAGGCTCAGTAGGCTGTGTAGCTAGTGCTAGCGAACACTGCACTAGAATAGAAAGAGTTAGTGCCGATTAGTCATCCACAGTAATACATTTTGTATCAAGCAGTCTACTGCTGTCTGTAATGTAGATCTACCATACATCAACAGAACGCTATAGCTAGCAAACTAAAGGTCAGAGTTCAAAGGTTCAATGAGTTGATCCCTCACATTTTCCCGTCGCGCAGCTGAATACTTTCTGGTTGCTCGTCAAGACTTTCGTCCTTTCCTTGCAGTTCATTAGTAGTCTTGTTCATGTCCAAGGAACATCAGGGAGGAGGTTTTGAAACTCAGCCATAGGTACTGGACTAGAGTATTTGCATGTTGATGTTTTACTTCAGCAGTGCCCTTCCTCGTCGTGTAAAGTTTCAATTGAAATATTTCCAGCAATTCAGTTAGTCGAGTGGGAGTGGTTCGTAGTGTTTCTTGGGATCAATGGAAGCGAGACGGGAGGGACCATCCTAGACTGTGAGTGAAAACAGATTTCTTCCCAATGGCTACGCTTTGCCGTCGTTCATCTCCTTTGTTTTTGAATGTCGTTTGTCGTGAACCTTCGTCTCTGTCCTAGTCTCGTGTCACAACGTGACGGCCATTCAGTGACCTACTGATTGACCTCTTGTAAATCAAGTACATGTTTGTTATTTGTAACGAAGCAGGGAGTCGTACTCAAACTAGGGAGGTGACACGGCACAGAAATCCGTGTCACAGGGGTTGACTCGCACCCGTGACCTCTCGTTGTTATTTTTGGAATAGTTCAGTCCAATCTAGTCCGAAAGGTCATACTCGGATCGACTCGCCTTCTGTACTTCACCTCCAAGCGTGCCGCATGGGTGTCTAGTTTTTGAAATTTTTAAGGCAGCACATTTCGTTTACAGCCCATCACTCGCCAGTATTCTTTGAAAGACTACCAGTAATTTTGTTAGCTCCTGCCATGTCCGAACTACTTGATACCAGTGATGGCAACAGCAGCAGTTATGAGACGGCGTGTAGTGTTGCGGTAACTGTTCAGAACTGTTCAGAGTCGTATCCTAGGTTAATCCGAATACTAAAAATTGACCCAAATTGCACATAACACGAAGCTGGTTTTTGAAAATTGTAAGTCGTGTATCTGCCCCATTTCTTCTTTATGACTTGCACAATACACCAGTCTTCCTAAATAACACATTTATAGCAGGGGTTAAGTACCATACAAGAGAGCTACATTGTACATCTAGTCATACTGTCATAAACAGCCAGCATTTTTCCTGCAGCAGTCACACCACCATCATCATTATTTCCAGGGAAATCCTCTTACATTGTCAGCTCCTACGTCGTTATATACAATGACATATGTAGGGGGCTGTAGGACCGGCTCGTCAAAAATAGAGAACCAGAACAAGCGTGCTCGGGACGTCTCAGCAATCGTAGTATGCCTGAGCACTCCAATAAAAACTTGATCAATGGCAAAATCGTTCCCCACAGAAAAATCATACTTTGCGGGTCTTGCGTTGCACGCTTGGAGGTGAAGTACAGAAGGCGAGTCGATCCGAGTATGACCTTTCGGACTGGACTGGACTGAACTATTCCAAAAATAACAACGAGGGGTCACGGGTGCGAGTCAACCCCTGTGACACGTATTTCTGTGCCGTGTCACCTCCCTAGTTTGAGTACGACTCCCTGTAACGAAGTTAGAGTTGATGAACAGGACACTGGACAATGTTCCTGGTTGTGACGGACATTGGCATTGCTAGAATATCATAAGTTGGCCGTCGATATTTTCCGTTGCTTGCAAAGAGTGAAAGTGAAATTGTTCCTTTCATTGGGTTTGGAGCTTCTTCTTCGAACAGTCGTTTTCTTCTTCGTGGTTACTCTTTCTAAATTGTTTGTTTGTTGAGGTGTGGAGTAGTTTTCTTTCGTCGAGAGTTGTCGTAGGCAGTGGTAGCAATGAGGTGTAACATTTGTGGGTCGTTTCTGTAATTTTGTTGAAGAACGTAAATTGCATGTGTTGCAGTGTGTTGTGAAGACACCCCCGTGATGTCGTTCATTGATCGTCTTCACCTCTTTCAGCTACAGTCACTGACAACCATATATAGCTGTATGTACGGTTATTGTGACGTTTGTTTGTGAACGATGGTTGCTAGGATACCTGTACCACGCTGTACTCTGTGGCGACAAATGTCATTACTTGCCACTGTCCAAATAAAGGATGTCGTTATGACGTCATGACGCGTGTGTGTGTGTGTGCCAACAATAGTGAAGAGGTGAAAATGTCATTCGTATGTTGTGTCTGTTTGTACGGTACAGATCTTGAAGAAACTGTGAAGAAATTTACTGATGCAGTTTCTGAGGAAGGACGAGTGATACATGAGATTTGGGCGTTGGTGTTCAACATCCTTCATCTCCTGCAGAGTATTGGAGCGGAGAGAGTTAGATGGACACCACCTATTTGGGGATCATGCTCGTACACACTAGGAGTAAGTAGAGTGTTGATGTAGTATGTGTGTGTGTGTGTGTGCGTGTGTGTGTGTGTGTGTGTGTGTGTGTGTGTGTGGAAAAATATTTTCGCGGAGAGGAAGCAGATTTGTTAGCTCCTGGTTTTCTCTTTGTTGGCATCCTCCACGGGGCGGCCTTGGCCTTCTGGTCAGGGTCGTCCCTGGGTATTGACTGGCAGTAGGCTTTTCATGCCTTGCAGCCGGTTTCGCTCGCGCGGAAAGGCATTCAGTGAGCTGACGACCAGGGCGGGTAATTTGTTGCCGTCACCGTCTTCTTGCGTCCTTTCCGCATCCTCCGCAGTGGCGTGGCGAGCCCTCGGATCAATCCCCAGCCTGAAACAATGCAGTGGCGTTCGGCAAAACAAGTGGATTCCTGGATGAAAAAGGATACAGGTCACACTTGCAACAATTTATTCCTGCGCGGTGATAGCTGGAATTGTGAATTTGTCGTGTTGTTTGGACCTGAGTGGCCAGTCGTCGTGCGGCGATGGTGTAGTGATGTTAGCTTGCTGCACATACTCCTCGTCGTTTCGTGAAAGTACGTCTTGTGGAGCCCTTGTGGGACGTTCGGTGCCCACCCTCCAGCTCAAGATTGTGCTTTCCTGGTGCGTGGAGGCCGAAGCAGTACAGACGTTATTGTTGAACAGAATATCATGTTCACATTAATATTGTTCCTTTCTTCAGTCGTTGCATGTTATAGTGGACCTACAGCAGACTGTTCATCTGGTTTGTGATATTTCCTTCCTCTGTTTGTGAGTCCCTTTCCATCAATATGGCAGCTTGTTTTGATTTCCTTTTTTCAATTCTTTTTGCTGTACTTTCTGTTTTGTTTGCGCCACTGCCCCTCACCTTGCGCTCAGTTCTCTGAGTGGAGGGCGGCGTGACCCCAAGGGGTAGCTGATTGATAGTAGTACTTCCTCCGCGTCATCGAAATTGTCGCAGTTTGACTTTTGATATAAAACGGGGTATTTACTCACCAGCACTCGTACCAGAGGCAAGGAATCGGACATAGGCGATAGTCATCAGTATAGGGTGACGGCAAAGTTCTATTTTCTGTTATTGGAAGCTGGAATTTTTGAACTAGACGCAGTTTCTTCGCTGATGTCGCAGCGATGGTAATTTCGACTCGCTGAGATCAGTCAGGCGTTGCAGCCTGCACATTTCTCGTGCGTATGGCCATTCAATCAAGCCTCATCACTGTTTTACCTTAGCTGGGGTGAGAATGAATTCGTGGAACAAGTGGCAGCGCTTGGAGAAACATCGAGGGGTCAGCAAACTAAATGCCTGCAACAGCGATAAAATTTGTTGCTCTGGCTGAGACACCTACATGATTGTACCTGCAAGAGCTGTGTATGTGTAGACTCTACACGTAGTGCTAGTGATGTACGCGCAGGTGCCGTACCATGGTATACCAGTGATGCTGAAAAAGAGGGCGCGCTGGACGTGATAGCACACTTACCTGCATGAGCTGTGACCACACAGATAAAATAAATGGGCATGCCACGGCTAAAAAAAGTTCATTTCAAGATCGAGGTGATTCCGCCGACGGTAATCAACCGACCTCGCAACGATCGTGTATTCTTACTAGGCTTCGTTGGTGGTGAAGTAGAAATCATCCAGAGCTAGCAGACGACAAGCACAGCAGCTCTTGTACTGTGGAGAAAGTCAAAGCGTTTGAGATGAGGCGCGACCAACTTTCAACCTTCCTTGAAATATTTCGGAACGATATTTTTGCGTCTATAGACATCAGCGACGACGAGGACTTCATCTCTGCCTGAAAACTCTCAGTCCAACTGTCCTGGAACGTTACTCTAGTCTTCAGACTATTATATTGTGGAATAAGTTTTGAATGGCTTAGCTTATGGAGTTGTCAGTAAAAAGTGACAAGTCACTAGTCAAACTGCGACAATTACGATGACGCGGAGGAAGTAGTAGTAGTAGTAGTAGTGTGTGTGTGTGTGTGTGTATGTATGTGTGTGTGTGTGTGGTGTGTGTGTGTGGTGTGTGTGTGTGTGGTGTGTGTGTGTGTGTGCATATGCATGTGCGTGTGTGTGTATCTACATGTGCGTCCGTGTATTTGCTTACCTGCATGTATGCGTGCGTGCACGTGTATGTTTATGTGTGTTCGCGTGCCCGTATGTGTATGCATGTTCAAGTGGTGACACGCCGTCTTCTTGTCTGTGCCACTGTCAAGTGATAATGACTGGTGGAAATTGTTTCTGTGACATAACTTTACAAGATGTGCAATTGCTGCAATCTTCTCTCAAGTTGGAATAAAGTTATGAAAATTTGACTGGTTTTGACCTCTGAGGTCTATCAGTAGGTTTCCTAACTCCTAATGTCATTGTACTGAGAGTATTGTTGCTGTCATTGTTGTAATTGTCAAATTGTTTCTTCTGTTTTGTATATCACATAGGTGATGATGATAGTTGTTCTCTGCTATTGTGGGCAAAACCTTAGTGATGAAATGATGCAAGGTCTTGTTGGCTGTATTCTTGACTTCAAGACAGTTGATGTCAATGAAGAAGATAAGACCTACGTAAGTTGTTGTGTTTTGGATTGTGACAAGAGACATTTTCTGTGTTCAGTATACTGTGCTGGCTCACTGCCATGTGTACGTCTTTGCTGGTGTTTCTGTGTGTACGTCTGTTTCCTTGTTGGTGTGTTTGGCCTGTGAACATGTACTGCATATTCATCTGTGTGTTTGTGTGTGTGTATATGTGTTTGTGTATGTGTGTGTGTGTATGTGTGCGTGTATGTGTATGTGTGTGTGTGTGTGTGTGTGTGTGTGTGTGTGTGCGTGTGTGTGTGTGTGTGTGTGTCCCATATGGTGCAGTGGTATGTGCAGCGATTTCCAATCGATAGGTTGCGGGTTCGATTCCCGACGATTATGGTCACACACGTCTTTCTTCTCTTTCTCAGACTCTTCCTGACTTTTCTTTCATTCTCCTGGGTGGTTACCAACAGCCAGTGCATGCCGGAGTATGTGGTGTGATGTGTGTGCGGGAAAAAAGAAAAAAAAATGAAAATGAAAAGACCAAAAATAGGGATTCACTGGCCAGAAAAACCACTTCAAATAGCTGTATGGTGTAGACCAGGCTGAATAGTGACGGTCAATTCTTCAGCCTTGCAAGCTGTTGAATGGTGCAATCCCGGCACAAGTTGCTATGGCTTCTGCCGTAGCATTGCTATCATCGCCTCCGGCGATGGGCGTCAAAGGTCAAAGGTGTGTGTGTGTGTGTGTGTGTGTGCATGTGTTCAGTACAACTGGACTCTCTTACACCATTGTGTAGTGTCAGGCAATGCACGTTTAGCAAAACTGCTCATCGAACACGGCGCTTGCCTCAACGCACAGTCCAGCTTGGTAAGAAATCGTGTTACTCTAGAGTCTGGTTGTCTCAACTGAATTCTCAGTTTGTATGTTCTTACATGTCTG